CTGAATTAGGTCCTTTTTAATGCTCCCTTCCATATCAGTTAAAATATTATTATGAAGGAGAGAGAACAAGTGCTTTATGAAACATCAGTGAGATTCATTTTTTTAAAAAAAATGAGAAAAATTGTCAGGAAATAAACTTAGGACAATTAGGACATTTTGGTAGAGAAAACGGAAGTAGACAGACAATCGGCATGTTGGACTTTGGATCTGATTTATCCTTGCCCCCGTGTTTACTGAAAATAGCCCAGTGGAGGGAATAGAGGGTTAGGTGGTTGTTGATACATTACATGAATGTTTATTGACCACAGCTCTCTCCACAGCCATCTTTCTAGTACTTGCAAATATCCTTGAGAGCAGGGAGAAAGAAAGTCTTCTTCATCCTGATATTCAGACTTGATATTCAAGTGTTACTCCTTTGTGATGTTTTCCTAACAGATACAGCAAATTACATCTATGTATCTAACTACCAAAAGACTTTAGGACGAAAAACACGAAGTCTAGAGGCAATCAGGTGGATGATATTTGAGAGAGGGAACAGCACCTGACATTTCAAACACAGGAAATAAAAGCTTGGGACATGATAGAAAAATGAAACAATATTGGCCTCAATGCTTTGCCATGAAGTGACGATGAAGATTTTAGCTAGTCTCAATGTATGGGAGAAGCAGCTAAATGGCATCCCTTGAACTTATTTCTTTCTTGACCTTTTGAAGTTGCCAGGTTCAACTCATTTTCTCCTCATGGTTACATCTGAAGTGGGTTCCAGAGGTGGGATCCAAGAGTTCAGCAGAAATAGAGCGCATATCACAACTATCGGTATGAATGAACTAAGAACAGACTAAAACCACCCTGGTTAATGAAACCCTTCTAATCAATTAAGAGATGGCCTTGGTTCATTCAAAATATTGTTCTATTTCATAAATGAGCCCTATGAGCTGTAGGAGACTGGGATTTCCTGCACCAAAAGCTGCAAACATTTAAAAAAAAGAGAGAGAGAGAGAGATTGATTAATATGTTAATCTGAGAATCCGGGGAGACAAATCAAATCATAGAGGACAGATGAAAAGGTATAGAGAATGTGATGAAATTGGAAGATCCGAATCAGTAAATATCTGGGTCCATATTCAAGAATTAAGGGGGAGGGGGAGGGAGGGTGTATGCAACACATAATGTGTTTTGTTTATTTTTTGTTTTGTCTTATTGTTCTAGTAAGAGTCAACCTTGGTTTAATTTCACAGTCTGTAAGAAGTGGGATGCAATATACCAACATCTGAAGCCTTCAGCTAAAAAAGCAAAAATAGTCTATTTTAATGCAAATACCAAATAGCATTGAAAACACAGAGCAAACTGCATTTCCCCCCCTCAGTTTGCCAGAACAAGTATACATGAGACCAGTATCAATAGTTCACTGAGCAGAGGGGTTCTTCCCTTCTAAAAATGAAGTCATAGGTCCTGAAATTATATCTATAATTGAAAAATAAATGTATTTATGCTTATTCCCTGGTTTACCAAACACAAAACTTTACCAAGGATCCAGAAAAGTGCTGTTGGATTTGGAAAAGCAGTATCACATTACTGGCAAAAGCTTTCACTGTTGCAATGAATACCTCCTCAATGTAGATTGTTGATAAAGTCTCGAGATGTGTGGTGCCATCCCAAAAAGAAAAATATAGCGTACCTTCTCTTGTAGTCATCAATTTATACCGATAAGGTTTTCTCAGCAGTTAAGTGTGACTATTGTCGGTCTGTCTGTGTTCCTTTTACTTGCAATGAAATGAATCTGGAAAGCAAAACCCCAAGGTATAGGCTCTTGAATGGAGTCATTAAGACACACTGCCATTCTCCAGTGGAGTTCCCTTGCTCTGCTCCAACAATCTAAGGCTCCCAGCTAAGAAAAGATGCTAAACCTTAAAATCCATGCATCATTTACAAGGAAATGCTACATCCTGGGTATATTTATGTGACAGCATTTACAAGTGAGTTCTCAAATGGTCTATTTTTTCCTCCCCCCCCCCCCAGCCCCAATCAAGCATACTATCACAGGCTTCTTAAAAGCATATGCAATGCTAAAGACTTGCTTTAGTTGCATTCGATCTTGACAATATAACAGCTCTACATAATAGCCACAATAAAGTTATTTTCCAGGGTAAGGACATCCCTTCAGTGTTACTATGTGCACGGCAGGCAAATAGAGCTGATATGCTGTGCAGGTTACTATAAAATTGTCGATGTTATCTTTTCTAAATTAACACACTTTCAAGAGCTCCAGAATTGCACTGTAGACACCAGAAAGAAAAAAAAAAGAGTCTTGGGTGTAGAGTTTTACCCATCGAGAGTCAGAAAGGTTTTAAGAAACTATACATTACCAAGCAAAGTCACTGCTTTCTAATATTAATAATTAGACATACAAGATGCAGGTTGCAGGGAAGAAATATTAAAGAGCCTGAATGGCAGCAATACAGCCGAGACTCCAGGGAACATCAGCCAGTGCCTGTAAACTAGTTGGCCTATTTGTGCCAGTCAGGGGAGACCGTGGCATTCCTTTGGGTGATTCAGGGACCAGGAATGAACCAAAACTGGCAGTCCTGAGTCCAGCCTGTCCCTGTGCCCAAATGTCTAGAAAGGGATTCACCCCACTCTAAGCTCTCTTCGGAGCCCAGAAAGCGACATATTCTAAACCTCCAAAATAAAAATAAAATTAAAAAATTACCAAAAGTGACTGGTAATCCTGTGACTATTTCAGCATGAAACATCTAAGGCTTCAATTCAGCTAAAGCAGAATTACAGAGCAGTGTTATTAGGATAATCACCAAATAAAAGGGATAGCCCTAGAATTTCATTTAGCCACGGAACACTGGAAGAGGAAAAAGCATGTCTGAACAGGATGATTGGGGCGGGGGTGGGGGGGAGTGGAGGGGAACTGGTACTACCTCAGAGAAAATCCTTCAAAGATACCAAGTCCCTGCCTGCCGATAGAATCTCAGTCTCTGTCAGTCTCTGTCTGTCTCTGTCTCTGTCTCTTTCTCACCCACCCCGTGCATGCATGCATTCACACACACACACACACACACACACACACTCTCGCTCGCTCACACATGCACTCCAGACGCAGTTTCTGCAAAGCTGGACTCTTGGCTGATGAAAGGCATCAGACAGGGAGCAATTTCAGTGGCGTTTAGCAGGAACGACAGGGCTCATTTTGCATTCAGTGAGGTACAGCAGGGAGGTTGAATGGATGGAAAAATCCCACTCGCGAATCTTACATAAATATCTTCTCCCCTACCCCTCCACCTCCATAGAGTTTTCCAGTTGAAAAGCTCCTATAATGAATGAAGCCTGAGGTGTCAGCCCCGGGGAAGGTTTTTAACCACCGAGATGGCTGTCAGGAGTGTTGGAAAGAGGGCAGGGGCCTCGGAATCGTCCCAGTCCAGCGAGGGTACCCTCTGGGGTGCTGTGCAAGGTGCCCTGAGTGGGAGGGCACGGCTGCTTGCCACCTTCCCCCGCATCGTCCTACCCCACTGTGAGACCTCCAGTGCTGCGCAGCCCGGGGAGAGAGGCAGCCACGGATCTGGGATCTGATTAACAGCCTGAGCGCGCACAGGGAGGGTCGCATTGAGCCTCTCCAAGAGCCAAACTCTTGTGGCATCTTCAGGAAAGGGTGGTAAAGTTGAAAGGACCTTTCTCCTTCCTATTCGCTCGATAGTAAGCGCAATATTGTACTTGGATTGGGGTGAGCAGTCGCAGGTCTCATTTGCCATTACGGACTAATGTCGTGCGTTTTGGCAACAATAAACAATTCATGTTTGATTCTTTATAATTTAGCAACCCCATGCAAACAGCTTCCATCTCCGCCGGCGGAGGAGAACGGCTAGTCCTAGTCGGGAACCTGCTCCCCGCCCGGCGCCTACCTGCCTGCCAGGAAGATCCACGACAGTGAAACTTTGAGGCTTGGGGCAGATGGGGCTGGGGGAGGCTTTGGGCTCCTAGAGGGAAAAGGCGGAGGGGATCTTGGATACCTGTTGGCAACAGCTTTGGAGACGGCACGTTTGCACTGTCTGCCAGCCTGAGATGGAGCCAAGGAGAGCCAGGCGAGGTCTCCTATGAACCTGTTACGCGCCAACAAAACCCAGGAGAGCCCTCTTTCCCTTCCCTATGGCCAAGGGGCGCGGCCCGCACCCCAAGGTTTCATAGATAAAGAGGCTGAGTGATGCCGGAAAGAGGAGCCTCCGGTTCTACAGGGGCGAAGAGAGCAGAGACCTAGTCCTCGACCCCGAGGGCCTCTGTGAGCAGTCTCGCGGGCTTGGGGAGAACATTGCCGGGGTGAGGGGCTGTCCTGCAGGGGTGAAGAGCTGCGTAATGGTCAAGGCTGTTTGTGTAGCAGCCTGCAAGTTTGCAGAGGGCTCGGCGCCTCCAGGCTGAGCAGCCACTTGTGGGAAAGCCTCCGCCAGGGGCTTCCGCTGCGGAGTCGTGGCCGCAGCCCCGCGGCGAGGGCTGCCCGCCCCTGGTCTCCAAGGAGAAGAAGGTGCGAAGACCCAGTGAGAAGCCACCCCAAGGCCTTTTGCCACCTTTTCCTGAAAAGCTCGCGCCCCCACCTCCCTTCCCAATAGCGGCGGCGGTTCCCACGGCCCGCGCGGACCCCGCAGTGGAGGCGCGCAGCTGCGGCGGAGGCTGCCTGCATCGCGGGGCGGCGGGCGCGCCAGGCGGCAAAGGTGGGGGACCCGCAGGAGAGCTGGAGGGGGACCGCCCGGAACGCGCGACTTTCCCGGGAATTCGCGGGCAGAACAGTTAGCCAAGCCATCAGGCGAAAAAAGCCCTGCGGTGTCCTTAAGAGGCGCTGCTATCGGAGATGCAGTTCCAGCGCGCGCGGGGCTGGGAACCGCATTCATCTTCTGGAAGGAAGGGGGCGGACAAGGGGTCCGAAGGGGCAGAGGGATTCCTAAAGCAAAGGTCCCTTCCGCGTGCCCCGGGGCTGCAGGAAAATCAGGGGTGGCGGCACTTACTATCGAGGAGCTCCGCGCTGGCGAACGCCGAGCCTCAGGTTCCCTAATGGCTGGAGGGGTGCAGGGTCGGCTCCCGCGGGCAGCAAGCGCCGGCCGGTCCCCGCGCGCTCGACAGGCGCCTCCGGCTTCCGTTCATGCCTCCCGGAGCCGCGGGGCTGAGTGCGGGGCTGACACAGGTCCTCGAGGTCCGCAGCCCAAAGTGCAGCGGCTACGGGGACGCTCCGGTGTGCGCGTGAACCCGCGGCGGCTGAGGAGCTCCGAGGCGGCGGGGAGATTCCAAATAAATCCACTAATTCGGGGCTGAACGCTCCGGCGTGCGAGCCCGCCTGCCTGCCAAATGTAACTGTGAAGTGATGTGGAAAAGTGAGCCGGGTGCCTCCCCTTATGGATCTCATTGGGCAGAGCGCAGAGGCAGGTCTACCACTTGGAAATTCAGGGAAGCGGTCCCCCCACCCCCACCCCGCCCCTCCGGCCTCCCCCCTGCGCTCTCGCGCCTTCGCTCGTTTGCTCCCTTCCGCGGACCAAGTGGGCGCACAACTTTTCGCTCCTCGCTCCCGAGCACGCCCCGCGCGTCTCCGCCGCCAGAGCCCGCAGGGCCAAGAGGCGCCCTTTCGTGCCTGCGCGCAGCCTCCCGGGGGCCGAGCTCCCGGGGAGGAGGCTGGCGGACCAGCGGCGGAGGGGATGCTGATGCGGAGGAGGTACCCGCGAGCTTTCTCTCTCCAGGTCTCACCTGCGCTCGGGGGTGGGGGGGTGGAAGGCAAGCGCTGTCCTCCAAAGCCTCTCCACGACCCGCAGCTGTGTTCCATGAGAGGGAGGGAACGAGTCAGGGCAAAGGGGTGTGCATGCCAGCTTAAACCCAACCCAGCCCGCTGCCATGGAGTCCATTCCGAGTCAAAGCCACCCTCCAGGGCCGAGCAGAGCTGCCCCCACCGCTCTGTGATTGGCAGCTTACTTCTCCTTTCTTATCCTTTCTAGGTACTCCTGCGTACAGAAATTCTAGTTTAGAGGCTGTGCGCCTTGATCTTGAACGTGGACCCTGTTCCTACTCTTCTGGTGCTTCTCATCCTTCGGGGAGTGGAAGAAGGTGGGCGGAGGGGCAGCGGCGAGGGGCGCTGGTAAATTAGAGTGGAGAGCAGAGGAGAACTTGCCTGGGAAGTAAGGGGAGGGCTTGCTCTTTTCTCTGGGTGTCCTAGTCTCCAAATCTCCCCGCACCTCATTGCAGATCCTCCGCCGCACCCCCCCCCGAAAAAAAAAATGCAGCCCTCCTCCGCTTCCTCACTGCTGGGCTGAACTCGGAGCTTGAGACATAGTCAGCCCTGGTGTAGAGTCAGCGCAAAAGAGAATTCTGCTTCTTCACAAGGTTCCATTATTTTCTCATCAGTGGGGAGAAGACAATAGTATTCAGCTGCGTGGATCATCAACTAAAGATTACCGAAATATGCGCCTTCACTTCGATTCTGTAACTCCTCTTCCTGGCAGACCCTTGTCCAGTCCGTCCTATGCCCACCAGAAGTGAGCTCTGAGAGCGGATCTTACATGCTGGGGACAGAAGCTCTAACGGGAGGGGAAAAGGTGGTGAGGGCCAGACACAGGTCTGCGGAGTTTGGCTGTCTGACTCGAGTTAGTGAGTCAGAATGAACAGAATGAGAGCATAGGCACAATATGCTTACAGTGTTTATGCACATCTGAGGCGTATTACCTACTTGTCAGGTGGTGACAAAAGGCTTGGGGAATTCTTTCAGAAAGGGAGTGAGAATGATGACCAGGAAATTCCAACACACACACCCCCACACCCCCCCCCCCCCCCCCCCGCAACATAGTCACTAAATGACTCCTTGTTCTTTCCTCAGACTGGTCAGATTACAGATACTATGGAGTTGACTAATTCTCTCTTAGGATACAGAAAATTTAACACCATCAAATAGCTACCGCTGGACCAGGCAGCGCCACGTGGACAGAGAAAAGGGACCACGTCTCAGGGTCGTGCTTAATTTTCAGAGATTCATTGTCACTTTGAAAAAATCATCCAAGATCTCTCCTGGGGGGCACCTCCCAAAACATCTGTGAGAACTGAAAAAAAAAAATAAATTAATGAGTACTTTGAACTGTGCCTAACAATTGGCAGTAATCTCAAAGAAGTCAAGGGCAGTAGATATAGACATGATAAGAAAAAAAACCCTTCAGTTCGTTTTCCTAAAGCAAAACAGGAGAAACCAACTATGCTGAGGAGATGAAGAGTGAGTCCTAGAGCTCCTAGAGTCCTGGTTCTCTTGGGTCAAGAATGCATTTGTTTTGATTCATCTCAACCAGTTAGGCACCACGGTGTTCCAATAATTCAGCCCTTCTGCTAACTGAAGGATTGACGGTTGGAACCTACCAACCGCTCATTTCTTTTCAGAACTCTTACGCATGTGGTCTTCATGAGGCCTGGTCTTCCAGAACTCATGATATCCCTTCATGAGTTGCACCTGCTAGTCCCTGTTCAAGGTACAGAGTAAGAATTTTCTGAGTGATTCTTGGTGGAGGTCTGCATGATCAAGAGTGTGAAAGAGAAATAGTGCAATGTTTAAAAGGCCTATGAGGATATCTCTAAAATAATCAGGGACATTAAAAGCCAAGACATTTGTTTCTTTTAATAATTTTCCACCTCCTCTTAAGAAGATGCAGTGTCATGTCGGACTGTGAAAATTCACCTCCGTGTGGAAGTGTTTTCCTTTTGCACATCCTCTCCAAAGTTACAGGCTTCCCGCAGAAAGAGGCCTAAGCTACAGCATTTTAAGAGTGATAACTGAGATTGTAGCTGCTATGAGCCATTGAGGGGAACAAGGCTGAAAGATTATCTGATAGGGCGAGGCTGGCCTTGCAGGGCTTGGGGAATGGAATAGCATTGCGGGGGGGGGGGGATCACTTTGGCCAACTGAAGTGGAGTGGGATGGAGTGGAACAGCATTGACTTGGATCTTTGAAGATAGGCTGATAGTTGAGCTGCAGAATCTACTGCCGCTAACAGTGAATGGGGCAGAGAAAGATTCTGTGTAGTGAAGAGACATAATTCTTTACACAGCTTTTAAAATTGTGACCAAGATTAAAATTGTCAGCCAAGATATTTGAACTGATGGATGAACTGGCTTGTAGGAATTAAGAGTCATGTAAAGTGCTGGAGAAGACCCCAGGGTAATTAGAGGAAGGAGGAGCAGAATGAAACTCACCTGTTATTTGCAACATTCACGTATAATCACGTATAAAAGAAAAGCAAACATAAACTTAGGAAGCAAGTTTGTTGATTTACTCCTCAATGAAGTTATGAATTCATAGAATAACTCCTCAAGGTGTGGTTTGGGAATGAGAATGTAATGAGTGAGGGAATTTCACAAGATACAGCCTGCTTGGGTATTTCCATTTAAAGGAAAATCTTCAAGTGTCTGAAAGAAGCAGCAGAACAAACCATAAACATTCACATAAGCTAATATATAGTATTTTCCACAATGCAGAGTTCTTTTCCTGAATTTGATGGTATGCGATCCTAAGAAAGAAAACCGAGGGGGAAATATCTTTTTAATTTTATGTATTTTCCAAATCATAATGTTGGATCAAAAGTCATAAGAATTAAAAAACAAACAAACAAACAAACCCTATTTAACAAGCTTGGAAAGATTTCAAAAAATCTAGGAGACTTTCATTCTTTTCATTTTTATGCATTTATTTTCAACCGGCCTTGATCTGAAATAACCATAAACTACGATTGGCTCAATTTAAAGACATGTGAACAATTACAGGGATTCCATTAAACCAACCAGGACCAAATCTACAACCTTAGAGTCAATTTTGACTCAGAGTGACCCTCCAGGATGGAGTGGTACTGCTCCATTGGGTTTCCATACTGCATGGAAACAGACGAGAGAGAGAACTGTTTAAAAGCTATATATAATTGGGTATTGGGGTCATGACAGAAGTCCAGAATGAAGGCTGCATAGTGGAGTGGACTGGAGCAGGGGGATTGTATACCAATGAAAGAATTTTTCTTTTCCTTTTCAAAGAAAAGAGCAAACTGGAGGGCAAGGATGGACAGGGAGTAAAATGCAACAATAAATGAATGGAAATCCAAAGTGTCTGTAAAGAAAATTAATAAAAATAATTTTTAAAAATTTAGGAAAGCCGACTTCCAGAACGCTTTCTATAAAGGCAGCTGGTAGGTTCAAACCACTCACCTTTTTGTTAGTGCCTGAGCATCCTCACTATTGCACCAAAGGGCCCTTTCCTTAAAGCCAGTGGTTCTCCAGCTATGGTCCCTGGAGCAGTCTCTGCCTCAACATCCTTGAGACTTTTTGCTGTTGCTTTTGGGTGCCGTCAAGTCAAAGCCAACTCACAGCTGATCCTCAGATCCTATCAGCTTTCAGAGGCTCCAGATGGCACTGCATGTGAGGAAACTGTCCATCCCTTTGGTCCGGAAGCTGGGTGGGACCCAGAAATCTGGGTTTAAACAAATCCTCAAATGTATTCCGGTGCATGCCGAAGTTCCAGCGCTAGCCTGAGGCAGTTCTTTCCTCAGGTAATGCATATAAAGATGAGAAGGAGGGAACAGTGGCAAGTTACATTAGCACTTATTTGTTTGGGTCCTGAGATATTCTAAGAGAATAGCACTTCATAAAAAAAAAAGAAAGGAGAGAAAAAGTGTGAGCAGACCACATGTATCACGTGAAGTCTTTACTCCTGTTCAGTCTATGATTGGAGAAATTCAGCTGATTTCTGTAGTGGTAAGTAGGAATTCTTGAAATAAGATCATCATTGAGCTTGTAATTCAGAGTGTTGATGTTCTGCATATCTCCGCTGCTTGTTCTAACTATCCCTGAAATTAGGACTGTATCTCTGAATATTAACTATAATTGCTAATCTCAAGGTTTTCTTTATAGTGCCAGGAAATGGAGGCATAGACGTTTTCTGTAAGTTGCTTCTGTGCTAAGAGCATTTTGTAGAAGGTTTTCAGAATGACATTATCTGCCATCTTCCCAGGTGCTAGAGAAGAGATAAGTTCTAGGTCGGCTTCTAAACAGAAACTGATGAAGGGAGAGGAGGTAGATGAGGAAGCAGGGCATAAAGCTATCAACACCAGCCAGCCGTGTTCTGTGGACAGACACACTTAGCATATTTGTTTCCTTGTTTGTTTTTCTGAAGGAAGGCAGTTACTAGATTTTTATGTCAGACCATCTTGTTTAACTGAGAAACCACAAAAAAAGGGAAAAAGATAAAAACAGTTTTCTGTTACCGAGAGAAAGAAAGAAAGAGTAAGAGGAGGATAAAAACCACTCTTTCAAATACTACCAGTTTGTTCCAGCTTGTTGTTAGGTGCCGTTGAGTCGTGTACAACTCATAGCGACCCTGTGAACAGCAGATTTAAATCCTGTCCTATCCTGTGCCAGCCTTCCTTCCCATCTCTGACACGCTCAAGTCCATTGCTGCAGTCACCGTGTCAATCCACCTGCTTGCAGGTACTTCCTCTCTTTTGCTGCCCTCTGTTATAATCAACGTTAAACCATACTAATTTCATTTCCTTGAGTTTTAAGTCTGGTGTAGAAAATTATCATGATTTCAAATTTGTACATATACACTAATTTATAATTGAAGGATGTTTGGAAAAGGGGGGGACCTCCCCCTCTTGTTATGCCCAGAGTAACTTCACAGTTCTGATTAGCTTCTAACACATTAATTGATAGAGAAAGTACTGTTCGTTCTGCTTTTCACAAATG